CCGGAAATAAACTCCGAATTTTTATCCAGTTGTAGAGATAGATTTGTAATTTTATACCTCTGCTTAGAGATTAGCATAATCTTACTTCCTTTTATTTTCCAAAGTGTGGCCCGGCCTTAATTTTGTTCGTGCCCAGGTGTGACAAGGGGGTTAAAATAATTATCTCCTTGGTTGAGGTAACAAAAACGGAAGATGTATGAAAAAATGAAGACAAATTCTGTACATGTTGTGTGTTTTGTATCATCTGTTGGCTTTTACATCATACTCTCCGATTAGCCATCATGCCGACAAAGGGCAACAAATTACGTATGTATTGTCTTACACACTACCAAAACACAGGCTTCTTTAGGGGCGAGCGGGAAATATCGTACAACTAGCGCCTACTGATAATCATCTTACTCCTGTTGACATTGCTGTGCCACTAGTATCAAGAAAAGTCACAAAAGACTCGTATCAATCAGTTTGAGTTGCGAAGGCAGATTTTATTTATATACAGCGAAACTTCATTCAAGCAGCAACCACTCCAGGTATAACCAACCACTCCAGCTCTTCACTGTTTAGCCTATTTTCAGCTTGACGCATTTCGGTCAGCAAGACATTGAACTCTGAAATTACAAAACAAAACAAATTCAATTAAATGATTTGAGGACCTATAGACTGTTTACGCAAACGAATTTACTTCATAGGCTTCCGAAAATAGTTTCATCAGGTTGGTAAAACTTAAGAGATAGGGGAATTCTTTTTACACAACCAAAGAGTCTCACCTCGCTGACGTTTCGGTGTCTGTCAGACACCTTCTTCAGAGCTTCTGACTGGAGTACTGCATCTCGCCGCTATATGTAGCCGATGTAGGTGGCGCTTTTGCGGCGAGACCACTATCCCAAACGTGGCTTAGTTTGTACCCCCCCTCGTCCCGGTTCATTACAGGGGTTGACTTTCTGATCCAAACTGCCTCCTTGATCCAGCGGGTTCTTCTATTGTCTTCTCTGTCTATAACTTTCGCCCCCTCCCAGTCAATTACGCAGTTATTTCTAGCAATGTGATCTGTCACTGCTGATTTCTTTTCTTCTTTTTGTGCATGTCTTTTCTGTGATCTTGTGTACTTCACTGTGTCCATGTTGTCAGCTTCCTTCTTGTGTTCTTCTAATCTTGTCCCAAATGTGCGTCCCGTTTCCCCTATGTAAACTTCACTGCAGCTCTTGCACGGGATCTTGTATATGCAGTCTGTTTTTGCCGTGTCCTGTAGTTTGTCTTTTGGGTGGACCAACAGACTCCTCAGTGTGGTTTTTGGCTTTACTGCGGTGGCGATGTTGTGTTTTCTAAACACTCTCTCAAGGGGCTCTGTGATTCCTTTGACATAGGGGATGATGACCATGGCCCTCGTTTTTTCTTCCTGCTTGTTGCTCTTATCCTTCTGCTTAGGTTGCTTACTTCGTTGTTCCACTTTCTTAAATGTCCATGGTGGGTAACCACACCGTGTTAGGGCTTTCTTGACATGCTGTGTCTCTAGTGCTTTGTCTGCATCTTCAGTGACTACTGCATTGCACCGGTCTAGTAAGGTGCGAATGACTCCGAGTTTTTGGTGAAGGGGATGGTGAGATTGGAAATTCAGGTACTGGTCTGTGTGTGTGGACTTTCTGTATACTAGGAGTTTCACTGTGCCATCTTCCTTCCTTACCATAAGGGTGTCAAGGAAGGGTAGCGTGCCATCTTTCTCTTCTTCGTGTGTAAACTGGATACTCCCCGTAGGGTCAGTGTTGTTCAGATGGTCTGTAAGTTCCTGTTGTACCCCCCTCTTCACAACCTCCATAATGTCGTCCACGTACCTCTTCCATAACTTCGGCCTACAGTTGATGGGAGCTGTGGCTATGGCTTGTCGTTCCAGCCATTCCATGAAGAGATTAGCTAGTACTGGGGACACCGGGCTCCCTAAGCCACGTTTGGGATAGTGTTCTCGCCGCAAAAGCGCCACCTACATCGGCTACATATAGCGGCGAGATGCAGTACTCCAGTCAGAAGCTCTGAAGAAGGTGTCTGACAGACACCGAAACGTCAGCGAGGTGAGACTCTTTGGTTGTGTAAAAAGAATTCCCCTATCACTTCATAGGCTATAGTAATTGTGCTAGCTAACAGTACATCATGTGTATGTATTCTATCTATGTATATACAAGTTATCCTTCTGTTTATGACCTGTTATCACGACACCCCCCCTATAAATATGTGTTCTGCTGCAATATTTAGTACACAATTGCCAACAGTACCTACCGTGGGCATCACACAGTAAGTCGCTTATCTTCTGGATTGCGACAGCCAGCCTGTTCTCGTCCGTTTCTCCGTGGGCCCCGGGGTGCGACAGTACGAGTGTAACAATTTGAAGGTTGATATCAAAACATCTCCAAGCTTAGTCAAGGTAGTTTTCCACCATAGTGACCAAGCGGAGCAAGTGGAATCTATCGTCTCTTACGTCCCTAATTCTCCGTTGGACCAACTGCAGGAAATCATTTCCCTCCATTTTTTGCAATAAAGTTTGCAGAAGACGCAACAAGTAGCAAATTGGTGGATTGAAAGGGCGTTCGCACATGCGTGCCTAATTTGCATAAGGTTTACCCGCCAAATTTGGACTCGTCTAGAGGGCATCACACGCATCGCGTCGACATTTGCTGACGAGAAAAAGATCTTTTTCTCGTGTCAGGTTATCTCCGGATACGAGAACGTACACAAAGCATGGATGGCAGCTGGAATCGTCCGTGGGATTCCCACCCCGAGATGTACAGTTACAACGAGATTGGGACAAGCTATGGACACGCAGACCGACATGATGTATACTCGGCCCCGCGTTCCTCCGAGTTCGAGAATACGTATAGATTTAACGTTTATCAGCCACGCCGCATATTACCCAACAACTACTATTACCACAGCGTTGAAGGACAAGGTAACTGGGGTGCTCACTTTGAAGATGTTGGAAGTGCACGACCGGTAGCGGGGCCCTTGGGCCAAAATAACAGCCTGGTGAATACAGCAGGTATGTTGTGCCCCCCTCTCTCAGACGACGAAATTCGTCGCCAATATTTTATTGAAAGGTATACAAAATAGGTCAGGAGTCTAAAATGAGATTAGAGGACCCTTTTAATATCTGTTTCACAGGCTAATACTACACTTCTCCTGAAACTGAGATCTAATATGCATTTTCTTTTTTCATGCAATACTGAAATTTTGATTGTTTTCTACTCTAAAGGTCAGGAAAGAAACTCCTTCCATCGGATTGAAATCGACGAGTGGCTTAACGAGAAGGATAAGAATGGTGATAAGAATTGGAATCGGAACTACATGAATGTAAGTATTTTCATCGTGTTTCTTTACTGATCAAGAGATTGTGTATAAGATTTTCCCGCCCAACTGTAAATAGGAAAAAAAATTCCCCCAGATCCATGATACCTCCGGAATGTCAATTTTGTCAAACACGGTCTACGTATACCAGCTTAGTATACCAGGAAAATTTGCCCCTCAAAATGCAGGAAACTGCGTTTCAGATAGTTAACATTTTGACATTTTCCCGGGGAAGCAAGTCCCACGGACCCCTAGGATGGTCTTTGGCGCTAGAATTTGTCAGCTCGTGTGAGACACTGTGACATTTTCCGCTCCCGCCTGTCGGTTTGCGTGGCTAAAATTGATACATTTCCGACCGCCACGTTTCATGCTCTATTGAAATTGTCACATCGGCGGCGTCCTTGTCAACAAGTGAGCCACGTTTATGACATACGATCTGCTTGTATCTCGGCACTGTAACAGTTTGTGTGTGCGGGTTTTCTCAACATGTTTATCACGTAGCAGTATTTGTAAATGATAGTAGTAGATCTTGTGCAAAAATTACAATCTGTCAGACTTTCCTGTTGCGTTCAGATCCGTGCTCTAGTGTTATGGTCACAACGCGAACCACCATGCGTGAACTTGCCGGCGTTTCTATTTACAGTGACATGAAAGGAACACAAACGCCGCAACATTGTAATTTCAACTTGAAAAAGGAAGCCGACTAATGTAAAAAAAATCTACTAGGACTCGTTTTTATAAAGATATGCCATGGTCCCATCGTCAAACTTGGTCGTTAGATACATGTACGTACCTGAAAACACGGGAAAATGGAAGAGTTGTGAAATGTAAACGTCTACGTTACTCCCACCCACGGACGACCGCTCCCCCCCGCTAATTATCGTACAGTCCCTTAAAAGAGTTGTAGATAGCACGCATTGTAGGCCTGCGGCAAGGTCACAGTGTGCTAGAACCGCGGTTCGCTTTTCCCATAGAGTTATAAACAGACTGTTTATAGCTCTATGCTTTTCCTGTGGCTATCATCACAAACACGTTGTACCTCAATCCCATTGTTTTGGCTTTTACAGAGAGTCTGTCGGGACTCATGGAACTCCGTCAGCAATAACAAGGAACTTGTGGGAACCTGTATCCACCATCCGGCGACAGCCGGTGGTAAGTTCTGTAAAATCTTCTGCTTCGCTTCAGCCGTCATATCCGTCAAATCTAACACGTTGCTCATGTACTTGGCCTTTCTAAAGTTCACCCCTTTCACGGCCTCAGTGTCAATGTCATCGGGATAGATTGGGCCCTCACCCCGGCCTGGTGCGATGTTTTGCAGCATCTCGTACACACGTTGTCTCTTCTTTGTCTCTCTCCTCTTCACCTTCTTCCGCCGCTGCTGTTTGTCCTTCCTCGCCTTTGAAGAACTTGCCCTCTGACAAGGATAGATGCGGCGAACCCTGTCCAGGGCCTTCTCCAACCTTGTCTCGGCAGCAGACACAGCGCTTTTTAACGTCTCCAGCTTTTCCAGATGCAATGTGTTGAAGGTATGGTGAGGCTCTCTGCCCTTTTTGAGGAAGTGCCCCCCGGGTTTGAACAGGTTGTTGTTGTTATATTATCCTTCAGGTCTTTCACCGTTTTCTCTGCCCTTTCTTGTAGCTCTTTGAGGGAGTCAATGTTCTCCACTTTCGTTTTTATCCCAAACTGCCGGTTTCTCTCGACGAAGAAATGTTTGTAAAACAACGAGTCGTGTTCTCCACTTTCGTTTTTATCCCAAACTGCCGGTTTCTCTCGACGAAGAAATGTTTGTAAAACAACGAGTCGTCCAAGCAAACCGGGTAATACTTGTGGTAAAAGTTGGGCAGGATGCTGTTAGCGTACTTGGTCTTGCCCGATGTCGCATGTGGTGTCAAGCCCAGCTTCCTCTGTCTCTCCTCTGACATCTGCAGTAGAATCTGGCATTTTAAACTTTTCTGTGTACAAGTATGCATTACTTTTGTTCCAAAAAACGAGACACCTGTCTGCTCCTGACATTGTATGTTGTTCATGTGAGGGAACATGCATATTTACTTAAAAGTATCGCTTTAAATAATTAATGTGACCTCCCCGGTGTGGATTGCTTTGATTTGTAACCTATCCAAATCAAGTATCCCTCCGCTCCGGTGTAGAAGACATCTCACATGTTAGGTATGGGGATTGATATTGTGTGTTAGTGGGACGTCCTCCACTGACGGAGCTATGCTTCTAAGTGACTATGTGTCCTATGTGTGTGTGTAATTTTTTTTTTTTTTAAGTTCCTTAACCATCATACCCTCCCCTCATTCCTTACGTCCGCTGCATCCCTCTCTCTCGGTCCTGCCTCCTCACGTACTGCGTGGTATCTCACTATACTTTGTGTTTTATAGGGCTGAAGGCACATGACTACCCTCACCTGTCTCACCTGTTTATAACACCTGCTTCTTAATCTATTTTATTCTGTTTCTCCACCTGCGCGCGGGATTACTTGATTAGAATAGTAACCTATCCAAATCAAGTATCCCTCCGCTCCGGTGTAGAAGACATCTCACATGTTAGGTATGGGGATTGATATTGTGTGTTAGTGGGACGTCCTCCACTTCCTCCGCTTCTACTCCTCTAGTTCCTATTCATACAGACCATCACCGTTTCTTCTCCCCTCCCACTCTACTCCCTCCTCCCAATAATCCCCAAACCTTACTTCACTTTTCCCCCAGACCTTATCTATTCAATATTCCTCTCCCAAAACTTACTTTCCCCCAATGCCTCAGTACATTATAGTAAACTCTGTGATCCTTGATCAGCTAATTACGGAATCTTGCCCTCCTACCTTACAGAGGTGCTAATCTATGAGTCGTGTGAAATTCCTAAGGGCGTTACAGTCCTCATATACCTAACTGGCCTATGTCGTTGCCACAAACTCCGCTGACGGTAACGGCCCCGTGGTACTGGTGGGCCTTCCCTCTGAGTCTACACATCGGATCTCGTTCAGTTTCAGGCTGTCTTGGTTATCAGCACAAGAAGCCAGCTAAATGATTAACAAAGCGCGAGTCAGGAGTGCAGAAGTCAGAGGGAGACGCCACCAGTACCCCGGGGTCCACTGGCTCAGAATGACCAGGGTAGCCCAGAGTACCGGCATGCATCCCGAAATAGTGCTGAGTTTAAGAGTGGTGTGCGTTGTAGAGTATTTTACCTCAACAAGTATCAATAGATTATATAATTAGAGTAGAGAGGTAGCCGTAGAGCTAGCACCGGCACTTGCCTTCCTGTATCAAGCCTCTCTTGACCAAGGGGTTGTCCCGGACGACTGGAAGCGCGCCCACGTGTGTCCTGTGTTCAAAAAGGGAGAGCGATACAAAGCAGAAAATTACCGGCCTATTTCCCTCACCAGCTTACCCTGCAAGCTTCTGGAACACATCCTCGTAAGCAACATCATGTCGTACTGTGAGCAACACCAAGTCCTATGCACAGAACAACATGGTTTTCGTAAAGGCCGATCTTGCGAAACTCAACTCTTGGGTCTAGTTGACGAAGTTTCTGCAGCTTTGGAAAGTGGTAACCAAGAGGACCTGCTCGTTTTGGACTTTTCCAAAGCGTTTGATAAGGTTAGCCATAGCCTACTACTAGTGCATAAACTAAGACATTACGGCATTGATGGAAAGGTGAATGCCTGGATTCACGAGTTCCTGTCAAATAGAAAACAAGCTGTTATTGTCAACGGCGCCATGTCTACGTATGTTCCAGTGGAATCAGGTGTCCCTCAAGGGTCCGTTCTGGGTCCTTCCCTGTTCCTACTATTCATCAACGACCTGCCAGCTGGTCTAACCTCATCATCAAGACTGTTTGCTGACGACACAGCATGTCACAAACTTGTCAAAGTTGCCAGAGACCAAGACCATCTTCAGGATGACCTTGACAAGCTAGCGGAGTGGGGAACAACGTTGGAATATGTGCTTCCATCCTCAGAAGTGTGTAACCCTACACATGACTCGTAGCAGAAAAACAAGGAAACGTGATTACCGGCTGCACGGTCACATACTCCAGGAGGAGCCCCAAGCAACATACCTTGGACTTACAATTACTAGAGACCTAAAGTGGGGACCACACATTGTAAATACCACTAACAAAGCTAACAGATGCCTTGGCTTTGTCCGGCGTAACATCAAGATTCAGAGCAAAACCATAAAGCAGGCAGCTTATAAAGCACTTGTCAGACCCATTTTAGAATATGGGTGTACTGTGTGGGACCCGTACACTGATAAGAACATCATCGCGGTGGAAAAAGTGCAGAGAAGAGCAGCTAGATGGGTCTGCTCCCGTTTCCGCCAAACATCACGTGTGGGAGCCATGTTGCAAGACCTCCAGTGGCAAACACTCCAGGAGAGAAGGAGATGTGCCAGACTCACTACATTCTATAAACTACATCATGGTTGCATCACTGTTAATACAAAAAACTTACCTGTAATCCACCGATCAACACGCAAGACACGGCATACGCATCCACTGACTTACGTGAGTCCTGTATGCAGAACCCTATACAGGCAGATGTCTTTTTTCCCACGTACAATTTCTGAGTGGAACTCTCTACCAGCTGAGATAGCCACCGCCCCTACTCTGACATCCTTTAAGGATAAGGTGGCCCACAGACATTAGCACCTTTGTACCAGTCATCAAAATCCAACACCAAAACTACAGTTTGACCATCTGACCAACAAGAGCAGCAGATTCATCGACATGACGATGTTGGCTGCCAAAACCTAAGAAGAAGAGAAGAATTAGGCAAGTTCATAGAAATTTGATCTGTTCGTGCCCACAACCTTATTTCATTTCTTCAGAACGATAAGATTATATTAATACTCTTTGAACTATCGAGGCATGTTATTCGTTCCCCATGTTATTCCAAACGCCCTTCAAAAGAGTACATGGGGGAGGAGGGCTCACGTTCTTGTATTTTGGTATCGGCTTCCATTTGTCGCCGTATTGTTGCAATTCTATTATAATATTGTTTTATACCTTTCGCACCGTGTATACACTTATGTCCAGTTATATCAAGACGCCACCTGGCGACCCAATATCAGAGTACATTCCGCACTACGTGATGTGCTTCCGACCAAACAATGGTGCACCACTCACAGAGCTACCGGGCAAATCGTACCGCCCATATCCCGCTCTCCTCATCAATTGGAAAATAATACAACTAAAATTCATGTACCACCTTCCTTCTACACCGGGCAAACCATTCCGCCCATATCCTGTGTTCCAAGTAGGATAACGCACAAATAATGAACGTTAATTGACGGTGAACCTTCCATCCTTATACCGGGGCACTCATTTCCGGCCCCTCCCGGCTGCAATGAGCAGCCATACGAATTAATGGAAATCGAATTACCTGATAACATTCCGTTCACCTGCCTTTTGTTTCTACTCCAATCAATTACCACCGTTTCGAGCCTATACATATACATATGCAGATTCGATTCCCTACCACAACTACCAGTCGACACTTCTTTAAATTTCACATAGCATGCTTCTCCACGTTCATATATTAGATATACTACTAAAAGAGCAAACTTTGATAGCCCACCTAGTTTTGATCAACTCGCGCCCCATTGTCTGGTTGTGGCTGAACCACGCCTGGTGCTGGCTGCCCTGCGGCGGCCGGTGGTTGTGCGGCGGCGGCCGGAGGCTGTGCAGCGGCAGCCGGTAGCTGTGCGGCGGCGGCCGGGGGCTGTGCAGCGGCGGCCGGTGGCTGCACGGGTACTAGCTGTGCCGGTGGGGGCGGGCGGGGCTGGAGGGCACGAGGCGCCTGCGGTCGCTAAGCCATCTCTCTCGGTCCTGCCTCCTCACGTACTGCGTGGTATCTCACTATACTTTGTGTTTTATAGGGCTGAAGGCACATGACTACCCTCACCTGTCTCACTTGTTTATAACACCTGCTTCTTAATCTGTTTTATTCTGTTTCTCCACCTGCGCGCGGGATTACTTGATTAGAATATGCTTTCTTCACCAATTTTTATGGAGGTGTGAAGAGTGCGCGTACATGTGAATTATTCACAGATGTGGGTACCAGAAGAAGTGTGCTTGCACCTTGAAGATAAGTCGGTATTCTCAATGGCAATACAGTATTCCAAGTTGAAATTTCAATGTCTAATCCTATCATTTTTCTGACTCTTCAATAATTTGATGGAATAGATATGGGTTCCCTACCTTGTGGAACAAATTGTTTGCATCCGACGAGGGCGCATCCTCAGGCGTGGACGCGCTGGCGCAGGCTTGTCTTGTGTGGCTGGCAGGCGGGCAACCACAATATCCACAAGAAGTCTTCCCATCGTCGGTCTCGAAGTCTCACGGTGGTAAAATCTGGGCTGCAAAGTTCCCACATGTCATAGAACCCTCCAAAAATATATATAAAGATATTATGAAGCTGCTATTGTTGCTTGTGTTTTATGTGCCTTTAGTCTGAGAGCTTACCTATTTCATTGATGAATGCTTCTCTTGTAACTTCAGGAAATCTTTTACTTTTCGCAACGCAGACGTATATCCCTTCTGTTTGATAGTTCAACGGCGACAGAGTCAATGGGTTTTTGTACGGCTGATTTGTATCCTTTCGCCGCCACGTGACGTTAGGCTTGGGATTTCCCTCGGCGAGACAGTCCACTCTGAAGACATTCTGTCCATACAAGACACTTATCTCTCCATCGAAACTTGATTTGATCCTCGGAGGAACTGAAAGAATTACAGAGATATCCATGTGCATCAACGTTTCCTGAAGGTGTACTGCATAATACGCTCTCACTGCATGAAAAAATACGATATTTGAGCATCTGTATCAGCTGCAGGCCAATGTAACAGGGACTGATCTAATGTTTAAACATACATTAAAGCATACGTAAAGGAACCGTTAATCGACTAAAATAACGCAACCACGGTGGTAAAATCTGGGCTGCAAAGTTCCCACATGTCATAGAACCCGAACTGTGTTCGATCGTGTTCGATCTGGGCAATTCGAATCGAACCCGCGTTCTATTTCGGGGTCACCTGCGGTCATTTACAACAAAGCGGCAAAAGAAGCCCTTCTGCCTGAGTGCTTCGCAACAGATAAAAAACAACAATTTTCTATAGATACAAACAGTTTCATGGACAGTACATGTCCGCTATTATTTTTGGTGGACATGTAACATGTAGCGAAGCTACTGTCGTATCCTTGGGTGACCTTGAATACTGTAATGATTCCTTACGCCTGTATGAATAACACAATGCACACTTTCTGGCGATATGACATGTCTGCAAAACTCGTTCAAACCTGGAAACATGGAGAGTCAAGCATACCCCATTTACGGCTCAAAATGACCGTTACGGTTGTCCCGAAAATCGTGTTTTAGGGATTTTTGAAAAATGGCCTCAATTTTGAATTATGGGTAATTTAGTGAGAAAAATGTAAAAAAATGCAATTTTTTCACCAATATGTCGACAAAAACTAGACTTAAAATCAGAAATTAAAAATCCCTAAAACATGATTTTTTATCTTATCCCTAGTCATCGAAAAATATAAAAATCGAGGATCTGGTGCAATATACGCAGCCAGGTTTGAACGATGTTTGCCTAAAAACGTGACATGGCTTGTGCTCGGAAACCCGAAAATAATCGTCTTTCTGAGCGAAATTTTTAAAAATCAGTGATTTCACATAAAAAGCTAACATTTACAGGATGTTAAGACGATATTTTGATTTTAATTTGACGAAATTTACCACTAAATATTATTTGTTTATTTTCAAATATTTTACGGGTAGTCCAAAACAGGCCAAAATAGCGTCTTGTAACCCGATACTTTTTAGAACGCGCCTAGCAATGGGAAAGAATGCCGTAGTGACAGACCGCCGTGTCTTCGCATTCTGTACAGGAGAGGCATGCTCCCCTGAACACACCCCGTTTGTCCCTCATGTCGTTGAAGTAGAATTTCTTTTCAGACTCGTGATAGTAGTGACAGATATTAAAAGGACTGATGTAAACACACGCCGAACTTCGCGGTAACAGGCACAGGAAGTCAGAGTTCACCCTCGTTCCCAGTACATATCGCAACTGGCGAATCATAGCCCTTGATCAAGTCACGTGTGTCAATTGCGGTACAAGCTAGTATGGGAACGACGCAACTGCAGATTGACGTCTCAAGCAAGTCACCAGACCAACATTATGTGAGTTTTCAACCTTTATTGACATTTGAAGTGGTCCAATCTCATTCCCAATGGCTCATAGAACGGTTATCTAGCTGCCTCTGCACGTTAAGTACCAAATGGACACGGAGTACTCAGTGCAAATCCGAGTTGAACCCCAGGCCCTGTCTGATGACTCTCGAACCGCGCGCCAACTTCGCTATTCATTTTCTAAATTAGACCCATGTGTGGGCTTGCGATGTCGAACTGACCATTTCTTCCAGAGATATATCGCCTTCTGTGGATGTCATTTTGAAGGCCTTTCGGAAGGGGGAACAGCCGCGGACGAACGGACGGCAGGACCGGTCCCAGTGCTCGGTGCAGCGCGCGCGCGTATGACACAAAATATTATGGCAGTGTTTGTTTTTGATATGTTCCCGCCGCGTCGTTCGCGTCGGAAAGTTCGCACAGCGTCGTGGAAAGGCATACATACATGTATCACTTTCTGCTGGGCGTGTAAACGTCATCGCTAGACCAGTTTTAATATAATTCACGGGGGGAGGGCCTAGGAAAAATTTTTTGAGCCGGGGGGAGGGCCTAGGAAAATTTTTTGGACCTGGGGGGAGGGTCTAGGAAAATTTTTTTAACCCTACCCTCGGACGACCGGCCCTCCCCCCCCAGTAAATATCGTACAGTCCCTAACTTGAAAACATCCGGGGTCTTAACCTCTGACCCCAAAACCTGATTACATTATTATTTAGATGAACACACCAATTTAACATCAGAAATAATAATTTAGACCCGTTGATATGCATCTAAGTTAATCCCATGCAAATTTTTAAAAATATGCCAAATCTAAATCAGGACCAAACAGGTACTACCTAGAGTCACTAAGCCCTGGGCACCTCTAGATGCAATGAGTTCTTTCCTAGACCCCAAGTGAGCCTCGCACGGCCTCGCCACCGAATAGCCTCCTCAGACAGGACGTACACAAGTGCCGCCAGAAAGTAGTACGTGACAAGGACGAAACTTCTAGTTAAAAGTGTTAGCTTTTAAACTATGGACGTAATTTCCAGATTGTGCTACATCTGTGCAGTTGAAAATTATAATTGTTTTGTTTCTTACACATCGTAACGTTGGTGTGCAGCTAACAGTCCCGTGGCGGATGGATATAAGCAAAATTTCTCGTTGCACAACCACCCAGGTTCAGTTGGAGAAGAAGGGTGGTGGTGTGAGGTAGGTGCTGCATTTTCAGGTCGTTTTGTGTTCTAAATTGTCGTTTCTGTGGTCGTCAGTCTGCGCAGAATGAATCCTAAAGATGTTACGGCTACTCGTAAATAGATGTGGACACGTTTTTGCGAAAGTTGAGTGATTCTGCCGTTTTAGTCGAGTCGCACAGTGTTCTGTACGGTAGTTTGTGGAATGTGTCTCGTCACCAAATTATAAACAGTTTGCCCCAACCTTTGGCCACGAAAAAAATCCCTAATTTGTGATCGTAGAAAACGTCCAAACAATGATGATTATAATTAGACCAATTTTAACTGCAAATGGCAAAATTTGATAAGAATTGCGTGTAAGGCTGACCGCGGCTGACATCTTTGATGAATTACCTTGTTTACGTGTTGGCGGACGAGAACTGCGTACTTGGCAATATTCTCGGACGATTTGCCCAGAATGATCACACAGCCTAATACTAGTATATATTTTTTATTCGTATATTTAGTCATATTTAAAAAATTTTCAATGTATGAAGAAGGTGTCCGTGCATATGAAAAATTTTAGGAACCGTAAAAAATACATGGTTGAGCTACACCGAGCAACTCGGCCTCCGTTAGACTTTTCCTGGTGACAAAAACCCATTTGACCAATTTCTACCGTGTTTATAATCTGTCAGGGCTCGAAATTCATTTTTGGGAATAGGTGCACTGGTGCACCCAACCTTAAAAAATTAGGTCCCCCTAAAAAAATTGGGTGCACCATATCAAACAAAACCAATTTGCAGTGTTTGCAGGTCTTACTGCGCCTCTTCTGAGCTTGAATCTGAAATGGGAGCTAATTTCAAAAGCTTAAACAAGTACTACAACAAAGATTTTATTATTTTTCTGACACTTAGATGTTAGGAATATCCTGCATACTATTATGATTTGATATGTACAAGAATACCTACAAAAATATTTGGGTGCACCAGTGCACCCACAGAAAAAAAATTGGGTGCACTAAGGGTGGGTACACTAAGGTCACTCATGCACCCAGTATTTCGAGCCCTGGTCTGTTCAAGAATGAGAATTTTGTGTAAGGATTTCGGTACTAATCCTTCCATTCGTGTTTCCTCTACAGCTACTCCTGATCATGATGCATGAGATGAACATCAAACACGGTGGATCAGCTGTGAGATGAGAGCCATCCCACACAGAACACCAACAGCTGTGTCCATGCAAGACAGGAAAGTCTAGAAACAGCATCTTTTTGCAGCAAAGCGTGCCTTTTAATATCTTACCTGCGCTCAAATATTTAAACTACACTGGTAGTTTGTATACATCGGTGACTGAGCAGTTAATGATCATTACTGAAGTAGTTGATTGGCTTGCGGGAGATCTTTCGGCCAACTCAGTGGTTGTTAGTTTAGGTCTATTTCCTGCTGCTGTCCAGCCTCTTGGAAACCCAGACTTCGGGGACTGTGCCTTTGGCTCAGTGGGGGCTGGTTAAGCGTAGATTAGTTGGCAGTATGATTACATGTTCAGTCCTGATATTTATTGTATATTGACGTTGGGTAAAAATGTTTGAAAAGTTTTTGTGAACAGTGCATGTGAACTTTTCAAACTATTAAACACGATTTATAGAGAGCACTTGTAAGGGGTCAGAATCCGAGTCAAAGGTCCCCGGACTGTCCTCTATAGCTGTGATGGTTCCAAGGGTAAGACAGGAGCCTCCAATTGTACGTTCGGATGATTTATTGACTCGAACTCTGCAGTTCACTGTAGGCAAGGGGTGAGTGGCAGATGAATCGGGATGGGAAACTCCCCCTTCAAGCCCCGCGTGGGAGCCGGCTTGGCCCTCGGAGTAAAGTTCGGCGTCCGAGACAGGAGGTGTTCGCCAAGACGCCAAGGGTTCCCCGTGCTTCGGACTCCGTTCTTCTCCGCTGTTTCTTACAGTACGGCGCAAACGGGTAAATAAGCCAGGGTTACGAACCAAGACCGAGAATAAGTAGTGTTTGTCTTCCTAGTGTCCACGTAACATTCCAGTCTACATATTTCAACGTCCACACTTCATTCCAGTTCATATTCAAGTCTGATTGTATGGTTGCCGGCTCAGTAAGGGAACCTCCTGTCAGATCTCAGAATGAGGTCCGGAAAGGTCCACAGCTCCGGTCGCTGCCGCAAGGGCTCCTCCCAACCGCATTGTCCCTGGTTGATTCCCCGCGGGATGCAGTACAATACCGGGTGCGTCCTGGGGTCTGCGTCCGGGACCGGAGGGTCGCGCCGCCCGCTCTCAAAACTCCAGAGGAGCTGGTAGAGATTGTGAGTCTGGGGCTCCCGGTTGATTTCGGCGTCCAGGCGGGCGATTACCCGGTTCAGACCACGGACGCTGCGGTGGAGTTCGCCTTTCTTGTGACGGAGGTAGGCGTACGCCTTTTCCAGTCTGTAGCGGGCGTACACCTCCCTCATTTTCCCTCTGTTTCGGGTCCAGGGATCCACCCCGGCGGCCTGGGCCTTCCTCCCTTCCCCACGACCGCCAGTCATCTTCCACTGGGCCGTAGTCGTGGTCTTGAGGGGTGTCGACTGCGTCTGAACCCCACTCGTCTGATGAGCCGTCATCGTGTGGCCCGGCTGCTGCCATTCTGCGTTGTGTCGTTTTGGAAACTTTGCTGGAAGATCGGATGGAATTCCTCGCTCGGCTATCGGCCTCTTTGTGGACTGGCGGTCCGAGCTCGGAATGAAGCTTCTGTCCGGCGACGGTCCTATAAAAAGTTACGGGTCCGGTGTCGACGTTACACGGCAGGTTCGCTTCAATGTCGCCATGCCTGGGCGCGAAACTGGGTCTTCGTCAGGCCGGAGCTCTTCACCGCGATGATAGCTCGTCAAAGTTCCCAGGCCCGAGCGCAGGGAGCCGTTCACACCAGGTGTAAGGTCTTCGACCAGGTTGGATTTCGGGTTCTTCTCCTTTATCCCACGGGTCTATTTGTGGAGATTAACTCTTGTCAGAAAAATAACTCCTGCGTCGGCTGTACTGACTTCCAGCTTAGTCAGATAGTTCTAGCCTAGGCCTTTATTCGGGTTATATTTTTATATGCTGTACATAAATGCGTTCGGAATTAACACTAAATCAGAAGGAAGCGGAGCGGAAATATGGTGCTGCCCTGGTTACCTAAAATTATATATATATACTCTACCTAAGATTATCTCCCAATACATACGTCCTTATTGCTCCAAACACTAAGCACATCCCCTACCACTAGGTCTCCTACCTAAATTCCTTAGCTATATCTACACTACCACGCTGTTCGGTACCACTGACTGGGGTTAGCGGTGCCTTCACCTCGATTTCAATTTGGTCCTAACTATGTTCAGCTATTTCGATTCTTCTTAAGCAGTGATCTGCCAGATGTGGCTAGCGCGGTCCTTCCGTCCTTGTCTCTTACGTCTAAGAGGTCAAAAGTACTGACTATGGTGGTTGAGCTGGATTGCTGTGGAATATTGACAGAGGTCCCAATTCGCCCTGCTTTGTGGTTGAAAAAGCCAGAACCCTTTGCCTGTGTCCTGGTATCTTTTCTGGTTATATCATTATGCTTGTCCGACAGATCAATCTTACTTCTAAGCATTTACGTAGTAACAAGTGATACTGCAGGTCGATGTTGTCAGCCTTAAAAAAATCTGATACAACAGGTATTGTGTACGGCTGGTCATGACAAACTGCCCTGCATAAACCTTACTTATAACTTAACCCTACCCAGCAGAACACAGTGGACTACTACTACCTAGCCTAGACCGGGCTTTTTTGGGCTTGGTGGGACTGGTGGGGGGGGGGGGGTGGCATTCATTTGACCCCCCTCAGAACTCGCGAACGGTATGTCGTATGACCACCAAAATTTCAGAGGATGGTGTACTAGTAAAAATTTATCATATCTACAATGTTTTATGACGTAATAAGACGTCATTATGACGTCATTAATGTGATTTTATTGGCCCAAACCGTCTAGATAGGTTATTCTCTGAAAACTAAATGGTATACAACATTTTTCAAAAATTTTTATTTTCATGATAAAGCCTAAAATGCATTGTAACAATA